CGGGTCGGGTCCAGAAACCAGAGGAGCCTAAGTGGGGCTTGGGCGGCGAGGGGGTTGGTGCCTACCTTGATGTCTCCCAGAGTAATCCAGAAAGGCCCCGAAATTACTGTTAATATCTCAGTGCTGCTCTAGAAGTGCCTCAGGAAACGTCAGTACTCTTTGTGGTGAGCTCCACAGCTGTGTAATACTGGAGTATTGTTCTACCAATACTAGAACTAGCTAGCAGTACCCCAAGAATGCCCCAGGAATTTCCGAGCATATCCTAAGTACTCTTCATGGAACACTTTCAAATAATAGAACTCTATAATTGCCCCAGAAGTACTACATTGCAGCCCAAGTATGACCCCAGAATTACCTAGCGCAGCCCTCTTTAATCCTGATGCTCTTATAATGCCCCACCTGGCCCCTCTCCATTTTGAGAAGTTTTTTGAGCAAATACAAATAGTAGGGCCAATAATGGCACTTCACAAATGGACTCCACTCTACAAGCTATAAATGCTTGCCCATGCCTCACAGCAAACCAGGGGCCATAATTTCCAGTTTACAGGTGGGAAAGCTGAGGCCCAGTGAGGCAGAGCCTCACCCGTGGTCACACAGTGAGCCCTGGCAAAGTCATGGCTAACTTTGCTGCATGGTCTCAAGCATGACCTTTGCCTTCTCTAGTCCTATGTTATCTGTAAGATGGGGATAACGAGTCTTGTTCTGCAAGTCCCTCAGGACTGTGCATGGCCCTCCCCCTGTGGTCAAGACCTTCTCTATCTCTCCATTGTGGACACACATTGGGTTTCTGAGAACATTGGAAAGAAAGGAAAGCATGTCTGTGAAAGTCCTGTGTAAACTGCGATGTGTACGCCTGTACAACACCAGTGAATCACGACCATTGTCAAAGTGGGGCAGACCTCCTTGGACCCCAGATGGGGCTAACCCCCAGCTCTAGAAGTACAATCTGTGGTCTTCTTCAGAGAAATCCTTCTATCCTCCTGACAGCCAAAGGCTGACCAGGAACTAGAACCTCAGCCTCTGACTCTGCTCCCTTCTTTCCTGTTCTAGTTCTAGGGCCCCCGACGCTTACAGCACTGCCACCCTCAGCCACAAGAGAGGACTGGGCCAGGCACACAGAGCCAGAGGGTAAGGAGCCCAGCTTGAGCCTGCTAGCCTCCAGGCTATAATGGTAGGGGGAAGGTGAGTAGGGCTGGGAATTGAGAAGGCTGTTGAGATCCATAGGAAGGGGCCTGACTAGAAGGCCAGAGCTTTTGACCAGATGGTAGAGGTGGGTGAGAGGACAGAGGAACAGATGGAGAGCAAGGGATGAAATCCAGACCTCTGAAAAGTTCAGTAAGGTGGGAAGACATAGTAAGCGATTTCTTCAAAGCTCTTAAGTAAAATTTGGGTTGGTGGTGAGGGTGGGAATTAAGAGGCCTTGTGAGAGGTTTGAGATAAAGGTTGACTGAAGGATAGAAGTACATTACAATTAGGGTTGAAACTATCATTGGGATTGAAATTAGGATAACGCCTGGAAATAGGATTTGGTTCATTCCAATCCAGTTTCCAGAGGACCCACCACACCAATCAAGGTGGTGACTCTAGAGTTGAGGTTGAGTGTGGGGTGCCGATGTGGTACAGTTGGGGGACTTCGGCAGGAGCGCCCATGCCCTGCTGTAGGCCAGAAGGCCTCTTTGTCCCTTTCAGATGCTCTATCTAGATGCCCTGTCTCCGCAGCCACAAGAGTTGGTGCCCTGCCTTCCAGGGAGACAGCCTTGTTCACCACAGCCTCCTGGGTCGCGGGGAAGAAAAGTAAGTGGCAGAGCGGGGATTCCGGGGCGGGTGGGAAAAGGTGGGGCTGGGGCCCTGCCTGGGAGCTGGTGGCTCCAGCGCAGTTCCTCTGGCCCCGGGCCTGTGTGCCCTGGAGGCGGGC